CCAAGTGTCCACTGATAGATGAATGGATGAAGAAGATGTGATACACACACACACACACACACACACACACACACAATGGAATATTATTCAGCAATAAAAAAGATGAAATCTTGCCATTTGCAACAACATGGATGGATTTAGAGGGTATAATGCTAAGTGAAATAAGTCAGAGAAAGACAAATACCATATGATTTCACTTATATGTGGAATTTAAGAAACAAAACAAATAAAAAAGAGATAAACCAAAAGACAGACTCTTAGCTATAGAAAACAAACTGATAGTTATCAGAAGGAAGGTGGGTGGGGGGATGGATGGTAGGTGATGGGGATTAAGAGTACACTTATCATGATGAGCACTGAGTAATGTATAGAATTATCGAATCACTATATTGTACACCTGAAACTAATAATAACACTTAATTATACTGGAATTGAAATAAAATAAATATAAAAAAATTAAAAGAAAGAAATTGAATTAAGAAAATAGTCTAGGGGCACCTGCATGGCTCATTCAGTTAAGCATCTGCCTTCGGCTCAGGTCGTGATCTCAGGGTCCTGGGATCAAGCCCCACATCGGGCTCCCTGCTCATAGGGGAGTCTGCTTCTCCCCCTCCCCCCGACCCCCCTCCCTGCTCATGCTCTCTCTCTCTCTCACTTCTCTCTCAAATAAATAAAATCTTCAAAAAAATTTTTTAAATAGTCTTGTCTTTGCAACATGCTTAAAAATATTGGTATTATGGGCATAGGATTACCTTATACTATCTCTTCTATTTGATATTTAGGGTGAAAAGTTAAGTGTTCAATGAAATAGATGAAAACAAACCCTATCACTGTGATTCTATTTAGAGCTCATTCATCAAATTAAAATAAGTAGCAATGGTATTTTAGAAGAAATTAAGCTTTAGCTATTACTGTAAATGTAACTATTACATGACTAAGGAAAGCTCCCTTTATCTTTCTAAGAAAACTTTTCTCTCCTTGGCTTTACTACAAGGGGAAGATAGAATCAGAACACTACATCTTTCTCAATTAATTCCTGAAGATTAGTAACTCACAATCCTGGTTACATACAAGAATCACTCAAAAATTTTTTCAAAATACAGGTTTTCTGGATCTGATGAATCAGAACCTCTGGGGGTTAGAGAGGGAGTGCCTGAAAACTCCCCCAAGTGAGACTGATGCATATCAGTATTGATAAGCAGATACTAGATTCTAGAAGGAGAGTTTTCCTGGTCTCTAAATCTCTAACCTCTCTGAAGGGAGAGGCAGAGAAATGGGACATAATCTGGGAATTGGGGAAGGTGCAGAGATAAGTTTGCCTACATTTTTACATTAAATAACTGTTGACAGATGCTTGAGGGGAGGCCAGAAAGTGTTGCCCCATGAGCCTCCATGGTTCTAATACAATCAAACATGTCCAGACTAGCACTTGTCCCTTTAAAAGTGGTGAGAAGGGGCATCTGGGTGGCTCAGTCGGTTAAGCTTCTGACTCTTGATCTCGGCTCAGGTCGTGATCTTGGTTCAGGTCATGATCTCAGGGCTGTGAGATCGAGCCCCAGGTCAGGCTCCACTCTCAGCACTGTTTGTGCTTGTCCCTCTCCCTCTGCTACCCCCCACCCAAATAAATAAATAAAATCTTAAAAAAAATAAAAGTGGTGAAAAGTCTGAAGGCCACTATCTACATGTCACTTCTGTGCTAGTTTGGTTTTAAAATGAGAGGCCTCAGTAAAGTCTAAAAGGTCTACCAGGACTTGTGCTCTTGCCTCTACCTACTTTTTCAGGCATATTTCATGCTCCTGTACCTTCTGCCTGTATCTCCAAACTAGCAAACTCTTCCATGTCTCTGAAACGTCACATATTCGCATTCTGTCCCTTCAGCTGAAAAATGTATCTTCCCTTCCAATACACTTCTCTTCTTGTCCCTTCCCTCTGCCTTCCTCTTTTCTCTCCTCTCTCTAATCAATCCCTAATTATTCTTTAAAGCTCATTTTAAAGGAGCTCTTCAAAGGAGACTTCTTCACAACTGAAATCAGGTGTCAGGTCCCTCTTTTAATTTCTCATCTCACTCTTTAATTTTTCTCTGCAGTACTTTCCAGAGTCTGGTGTTACACAGTTATTGATGACACTCTTTGTTTAATTTCTGCCCCCCCCCCCCATTTAAATCCTGGTTTTGTGAGAGTTGGGCCTGGCTCTCTGTTGCCCAGACCTAGCAAGTGTCTTTCTCCTAGTACAGGTTCAAACACTATCTGTTGAATGAATGAAGTAAATGAGAGAGAGACTGGTTTAGGTCATGCCTTTTCCCCATCCATCCATGCCAGAAAACTATTTCATTCACCCATTCAAGAGAATTTTTGAATTCCTCCAATGTGCCAATGTTTGTGAGAATTAAAATGATAAATCAGACATAGACTCTTTCCTTGAGGCCCATAGAGTCGAGTGGGGAATAAAAGAGAGGGATTCACATACCTGTTCGAGGTGCCTATAAGGGAAACCATGAACTTTGTTAGTAGGATCAAATTTCAGTCCTCCACTGTTGTCAAAGGAAAGACACTGTCCGTGTGAGAAGAGTGGGGGGCCCTCACAGGAAGCTGAGTGACCTCCTGAGTCAGCTGGATTTGAATCCTTCATGTTATGTCGCAGCTGCTTGAATTGAAAGCGTCTAACCTGTCCGTGAAGCACCTCCTCATCTGTAAAATGGTCAGTTTTCTAGTGGACAGGGAACACCGTCTCCACGGAAAATGTTTTTAACAGACTACTGTAGGTTCCGTCACACTGAAGAAGATGTCCGCACGGCAAATAGATGTTTAGCATCACTAACCATTGGGGAAATGCACGTTAAATCCACAGTGAGATATCATGACACAGCTATCAGAACAGCTAAAATAAAAAATGACAACACTAGTTGCCAGTGTGGATGCTAGTGTGGATGTGGGGAAACTGAATCACTCCCACAGTACTGGTGAGAATGTGAAATGGCAGAGCCATTCTGGAAAACAGTTAGTGTCTTAAAAAACAAAACAGAGCAGCTACCCTAGGACCTGGCAATTGGACTCCTGGGCATTTAGCCCAGAGGAGAGAAGACCGACGCTGACACAAAAACCTGTACACAGATGTTTACAGCAGCTTTATTAGTGAACGCCCAAGCCTGCAGACAATCCAGAATTCCTTCAGCAGGTGCTGAAGCAAACTGTGATACAGCCATATCCTGGCATACTACTAAGAGACACAGAGAAATGAACTGTGAGCACCTGTGGCAATCCGGATGACTCTCCCGTTATGTTGAGTGGAAAAAAGCAAATCACAAAAATGTTACATACTATATGATCCCCTCTGTATACCATTCTTGAAATGTCAAAATTATACACATGGAGAACAGATTCGTGATTGCCAGGGATTAAAGAGGTGGGGGAGGTGGAAGGAAGTTTGTGTGGTTGTAAAAGGGTAATAGGAAGGATCCTTGTGGTGATGGAAGTGTCTGGAAGTCTCTATCTGTAGAAAATTGATGTAATCTCTCTGTATTATTTCTTACAGATACATATGAATCTATAGTTATCTCAAAATAAAAAAGATTACTTTTAAAAAATCAAAACGTGCAGGCCAAATCAGGGAAACAAGTATGTCAGTTTGGCAGTTACGACATGAGCCTTAGATCCGTGACATCATAATGGTAGTGATCTCAGGTTACTATGGAATCCTCAGGCTTCAAGCATTTTACAGTACTCTGCCTAGTGCTGTAGACTCACTTGATTTTCAGTCCTGAGAACTGAAGACAAAAGGATGTTCACATCATTCAGAAAGTATGCAGAACTTATAGGTGGTCATTCAAGGCTTCACTGCAGAAGGTAGTCTTTTGATATACTATTTTTGAGCCTCAAAACAGACTGACAATAACAGGAAGTGTTGTTCTCTTTTGTTTCTTCTAATACGTGTACACTAATGAGTAACTTCAGCACCAGCTTCGTGAAAGGCTACTCAGGTTCGTAAGATTCAGTGCCGCTGAGCTGAAGAGAGCAGGGTTTACATTCTCGGAGGAGACACTTTCTTGGCTCCACGAGAGAGAATTTTCCCAGGTCTATGAAAATATTTGTCCTATTTATGAAAGAACTTTTGCATTCTGTTCAATTTAGCTGTTTTACCTATGATGACCGAAAGTCCTATCAGAGCTCAGTCAGAGCTCAGCCAAGTAATAGCTAAACTCTTGTGTTTAGAAACTTTTTGATGTTTCCAGTATTTTTGCCGATCTTTGAGAATTTTTCCCCCAAGTTTGAATATTGATTTAGATAAGATTTAGATAGATTTAGATAAGTAAATTTCCAGAATCTTCAGTTGTCTTCATTTTTATCTTAACATGAAAGCAAATTGTAATTAATTCTTCACACACACACCGTATCATTTTGTTTTATATTAGGCCACCAATTGTCCTGTTTGTTGTTGTTTGTTTGCCTTCTTGTAATACACTCTACCTCTTGATCCTCCCCTTCCTAAAAGCTCATGATTAGCTTTGCTGCTTTCTCCACCCCACGTCTAAGTGTTGGCATGCCCAAGGGCTTTGTCCTTGAAACTGTTCTCCATCTGCATCAATTCACCAAGTGACCTCATCTCTCTCTCCTTTTTTAAAATATTTTGTTTATTTATTTGAGAAAGAGAGCATGTGAGAGAGAGAGAGAGAGAGAGAGCTCAAACAGGGTGGAGGGGTAGAGGCAGAGGGAGAAGCAGGCTCCCCGCTGAGCAGGGAGCCCGACGTGGGACTCGATCCCAGGACCCTGGGATCATGACCTGAGCTGAAGGCAGACGCTTAACCGACTGAGCCACCCAGACGTCCGACCTCATCTCTTTCAATAGCTTTCTATAACTCAGCGATCCCTGAATGTGAGCTCTGGAGCTCTGCTTTCGGGGTTGAGACTAAATTTTGGTGTTATGCGAACCTTGACATTTAGCATAAAACTCTATTGTGTATTTGACTAGTAACTAGCTGCTCCGTGGTGTTTGGTGGGTTGCAGGAAGAGCTCTTCTGTTGAGGTGGATGCCTGCAGCAAAAGCACTACATCATCTGAGGGTGCCGCCCATACCCTGCTTATCCACGGCCCCGTCGAGCTCAAGAGAGGCTGGAGGAGGCAGAAGCGGCACCTCTTCTTATTCAGCGATTTCTTGCTGGTGTCCGATACCAAGTATGTATACTAAGCAACGTGCCCTTGTGATGATCACGAAGTTACATTTCCATTAACCCTTACCATAAGAAGACATGACATTTTTTTTCTTTTGTTTTTGCCCATGTTTGGATCCTTCATTCATTCAACAAGTACTTATGGAGGTCTTGTTTTGTGCCATGCCCCCCTCCCCCCCCCCCCCCTGCAGAGAATACAATAGAGAATGTGACAAGCAGTGTGTCTCTTGCCTGGAACTTACAAATGACAAAAATAAGAGGGGTAATTATAGATTGTGATTAGTGCTTCTGATAGAAAGTAGACAGGGGGCCGTGTGGAGATGATGGGAACGTATGAGAGAGGGGTAGTCCAGGAGGGTCTCTCCTAGGTGGCAGCACTGAAACTCGATCTATGGGATGAGAAGCAGCCACAGTCCTAGACAAGGTGCCTGAACCTTCTAGGCTGAGGGACCGGCAGGCTACGTGGGTGCAACCTGACCCCTGGGGGGAGGGGCTCAGGAAGGCTGATTTGATGGGAGCCGAAAGCATGGGGCATGCTGGTCTGAAGGTTTTGCCCAGGTCACCATATTAGTGATGAGTAGAGTCTACATTTGAAATTAGGTCCGTTTCTTTCAAAGTACAGGCTTTTATTCTACGTGTGGTGCTGCTGTTTCTATTATTTCTATTTTTCTGAATTTCATACAACATTCCATGAACACCTAGATTCTCTCTCATTATTGAAATCAACCTTTCCTTTATGTTGAGTAAACAACTCCAATCTGCTTGGTATCTGGTAAGAAATAGGTCAGAATGCTTAGTGAACTGAGAAATGAAGGTAGTGTAGCTGTCCAAAAAAAAAAAAAAAAAATCAGAGGCAAAGACAGAAATAGTAAAATATATTTGAGATGAGTGATATTGCCTACAGATGTAGCCTTGGAGGTGGTGATGTCATGAGGAGGACAGAGAGAAAAAGACTGTCCAGGTCCTGGCATGAGGTCCGTATGACGCACTCTGCTCCTCCTGATAGAGGGCCACATCATTATTTTTAAAAAAGCAGACTAGTTACCATTCCCTTTATTTAACCAAGGTGAGTACAGGAGACTAAAATGTGTGGGATGCATGCTGGGGACCACACGAGGAGCATTACAGATTCCTCGTGTAATTTCCCCACAGCCCTCCAAGGCCAGTATTGTTACCATCCACCGACTGCAGAAATGAAAGTGGGGATGGAGGAAGTCTCAGGAATGGACCTGTCATCCACAGGGAAATGGTGGGAGAGACTCCAAGCCAGGCCTGCCTTCATCCCAAGGCCACACTCTTCCTGCCACACCATGCCACACCTACTCTTGCATGCTCAGCCCGAGACACGCTAACAAACAGCAAACTCCTTTCCTGCTCCTTGGGACCTTGCAGACCACTCACATTCGATTTATAAGGGGAACAGGTTGTCCTTCACTTTGTTTTCATCTTTGTAATTATTATAGCACTTAGGGAGAGGAGAAGACCTTTCTTTTCTTACTAGAGCCATTTATTGTCCTGGATACTGCTTACCTCTCAGCGGGTTTTACAGAACCTACGGTGTTCTGCTGAAAAGATTTTATATAAAGGCAGTGTTCTTTCCCCATGAGAGAACTGCATCCTTTTAAGAGCTGAATTTTTTATTTTGATTGGTTCACTATTACAAAAGAAGTGCAACATTTTTCCTCTTCACATATTGCTTTTGAGATAGGTCTTTGTGTCTACGCAAGGGTTTTTATGATGTGACAAAATCTACATCAATGTATTTAATAATGTTCTCTTTAAGAGACTCAGCTCCTGAAAGATTATCTTATATACTTTTTACATCCATTTGGAATATTAGAAAATGTAAGTGATCTCAGGCACTTGAATTTGGCTTCTAAAACCAAGGCCCTTGACAGAGAGAGAACACAGATTTTTGGAAGTCCAAGTTCGGGACACCATCAGGGTCAGGTTCCCGCGAGAGCTGTCTTTCTGCGTGCAGATGGCTGCCCTCTCGCCTATGCCCTGTGGGGTTTCCTCAGCGCCTGCATGTACACACACACACACAGAGCTCTCTCTCCCTCTTCTTACAAGGGCACCAATCCTACTGGATTAAGCCCTTACCCTGATGGCCCCATTTACACTTAGTTACCGCTTAAAAGCTCTCTCTTCAAACATGGTCATATTGGCAGAGAGGGCTTCACGGTAAGACTGTGGGGAGCAGTGGGGGAGGGGACACAATTCTGTCCCTAGCAGTCACGAGCAGCACTTCATGCTGTGGCCGCGTACAAGTTTTTGCCACAGTTTTTAGAAAACGACCATGAGAACATTCCCATAGTAAACATTTGGGTATATTTATGATCACTGTGAATATTGGACAAGTTTACATTTTTTTTTTCTAGAAGGAAACAACTAAAAAGAAATAGCTCCTGCATTAACAACCTTGTTTCATCCCTGTCATCCTTGTTCTTGGAGGATTGTGTTATGCCCTGAATCAATCTGTTCAAATTAATCATCTGAATTTAGGGCCTACGTTTTCCAATTAGCCATAAGAAGGGGTTGGGGTGACCCAGGTTCTGTTTTACCTCAGCTCACCTGCAGGCTTCAGCTGGAAACTCTCATCTTTAGGTTGACGCTATAGAAATTAACACAAATTGGGTAAGTAGTTGACTAATTGCTACCTCTGTATTCTGTCAAAATTAGTGAATTTTAGTTTGTGTGTAATAATAAAAGGAATTTAAATGTTTGTTTCTTCACAAAGAAATTATATTTCTCTAGTCGTACAAGATGTTAATAATAGTGAAAATTGTTTGGGGATTCTTTTCATACGCCTTCAGAAATTTCTCAAGAATTGAGGTCAGATGGAACCTTCCTTATTACTTTTGATATTCATTAGAATACTAAATAAGTTATTTTTCAAAGAAAATTATTACTTTATTTTTAAGAACAGTATCTGCTTGATAAATATTAAGATATTAATACTAGTAGAGGCCCATGAAGAATTTACAAAAAGGAAGGGACTGAACTTAGTTCTTTAGACATCACATCCCTCATATGTAGTTATTAAAGAATATAAAATGAAACAAAAAATGAATTTAAATTAGGTCAAAAGATGAAGATGACTATTAACTCATTATCCGTGAAATTACAAAGAATTACTTACAGAATATAACAGGACCCCCACTCCCAACATCTGTAAAAGGATACCCCTATCTTAGAACAGGGGAAATCCCCCTAGAATCCTGTAAATTTCCACAGTGCACTGGGGCTTCCCTTCTGGTATAAAGGTTGAGGTAGCAGAAAGCAAGAGTGATATCCATCATGTTAATACAAATATAATAAAGGACTATTTTTAGAAATAAAAACCACAGTTCTTTCTCCTCCTCAAGTCAGTTTACATTAGATTAATACTTTCTAATTTCTACTGAGATAATCCAGTTGGGTCAGTGATTGAGAGTGAAGAAATGCAGTAAGACCCTAGAAGAATCCACTGAAGTATGAAGCTTTGTTGTAATAAACTTTAAATATTTCCAAGCTAGTAACCAGCTTTGTTAATATAATGTCTTGAGATTTATCCTCTCACTCCCCAGATAATCCAATGAGAAAGCCTGATGGCTCTGGGGACCGAAGTGAGGCTGAGTGAGGGTAGGAAACATGAGAAGGGTAGTTCATGGAACGATAGGTCAGCAGCCACAGAGGCCAAGTGGTTACAAACATGGGCTCATGAGTTAGGCTGTCTGGGTTCAAACTCTCTTGCCTTTGGCAATTTAGTTGACCTTTCTGTGAGTTTCCTTATTTGTAAAATGGAGCTAATAAAGACCACCTAGTGTAGTTGTTTGAGGATTACATTTTTTATATTTGTATTTATAAAATATTTAGAACAGTGCTTGGCATATGATAAGTGCTCCAAATGTGATAGGACAGTCGAAACCATGCTCTGGGCTTTGGGATAACTCCTTGGTTTGGAGTAGATAATCTTGGTGCTTTCTTGAACTAAGGAGAGAATTACTGAAATGTCTTTTTCCAGGTCAATGTATTTGGAAGTTCCCACACAGTACCTTGGGTGTCTGTATACACACAGATACCTACATTAGAAAAAAAAAAAAATCTTAAAAACCAACAGATATATGTCTATCTTTCCCATTAGCCATATATTTTTACCCTGACAATGCCTTTGGAGTTACTATCTAGAAAAATGATTTTATCTGATAATCAGACATCTGATATCTGATAATGATTTTATCCGATGACTTTATTCATTGTGTCATAAACTTTGAATCTAGATTATCCTTCAAGTGTGCGTCCAGCAAAATTATTTTTATTTCATAAAACCCATTGGAGAGTCTTAGCTTTAATTGTTCCATGAATCACTGGAGTCACAGGGATTTTTGCACATGAGGTGTCTTTGATCTCATTTTAGTTTAGTGTTTCCACATGTGTTTCTGAATAGTAAGGAGTTCCAGAGTGGTGTGTCCAAGTTCCCTAAGCATCCCTCAGAGGGCTTATAACTATTTAAATCCCAAGCCCACCTGAGAGTTAAAGTTGTGAATTAACCAAATCAATCAATATGGTGGTTTTCATGTTAGAGATCAAAGAAGATTAGGCAGAAATTGTCAAAAAGCAATTTCACCACTGACAAAGTTGATCACCTTCTGACTCCTCAGAGAAATGGGAAGTATCCATCACTCACATATAAGACCTCCTGACCGCTGATCTGGGATTGATTGATGGATGGATTGATGATTTTTAAATTGGGCTCAATCTGTAGGCTAACAGTTTTTCAGTTTTAGCCATAATCTAAGGGAAAATGATATGGATAAAATTTTAAGAAGGGAAATTGAAAATAACCTATGCTTTAAAGGCTAGAAAGTATTTTTTTTTAAAATTAAGGTTGAAAATAACTTTTAAATCTTTCTGATCCCCCCCCCCAAAAAAAATCTTTCTGATCCAAGTTTATTTTTTGTTCTTGGTTTGTCTCTCTCTCTCTCTTTTTTTTGAAGATTTATTTATGTATTTATTTATTTTAGAGAGAATGAGCGTGAGCGGGGGGAGGGGCAAAGGGAGAGGGGAAGCAGACTCCCCACTGAGAGGGGAGCCTTACATGGGGACTCGATCTCAAGACCCTGAGATCACCACCTGAGCCGAAACCAAGAGTTGGATGCTTAACCGACTGAGCCACTCAGGCACGCCCCCTGGTTTGTGTCTCTTAAGCAAAAAAATTGTATGACTATTTTTATAAATCGTGTATCAGGTAGCTTTGTTCAGCCCCTCAAATACTTTTTGAAGTAAGCAAGTCATAAATGAATAATTAACTATAATAATAACCATAAAACTATATATAATAAGAAACAAATTCTAACAATAATAAATGAATTAATGGTTTTCTTAAAAAGCTCTGGAATATATAGTCTTTACTCAACACTCAACATTCAGAAAAATGGCCACTTGCTGCCATTTGAGGAAGTGTTTTCAGGGCCTTCCTAGGGCCAGACTTCGCTCAACACACACTTTGTAAAGGTCATGTCACCATTTGCTGTGCTGGGCACAGAGGGTAATAGAGACAAGGGAGGCATGCTGTGCCCTGGAGCAGTGAGAACTGGTCTCTGATGAGCACAGCTGTTCCCATAACATTTATGAAACAAACTAACAGAGGTCTTGTTTGGGTATCTTTCTAGGTATAAGAAAAAACTTAAGATAAAAAAGAAAATACCACTGAACACCATGTGGACTGCCAACTGTATGGACAGAGTGGAGGATGCCAACATCTGTGCTGGGAGGTCCTTTATCCTGGGCTGGCCCACGGTGACCTTTGTGGCCACCTTCAGGTAAGACCGACCGTTTGGTCTTGTATTTACATGGGATAAAAAGAAAAACATTTTAATCTGATTATATGTCAAGCCAGTGACTCCCTTTTTGACTTCCCATAATGACACTCATTTGCCTTGTACTTCCCCCCAAAAGGTATGTACAAATGGGAGCAAGTAGATAACATAGAGTGGGAACTATTGGAGTAATTTCTTTTGGTTTTGATCAGTGGTTTTTCCCATGGGCTCTAGGAGCCACTTGAGGAATTGGGTGTTTTAGGCATATGGAAGGAGAATCAAGAGAGTGAGGTTCTAGAACCCCTCTCCAATATCCTGCCCCCTAATTCCCAGGGGGTATGTGTGTTTCTAAATCACTGGCATATTTTTCTTGAGCAAGTACTATTAAAGAGTCCAATTAAATTTGAAAAATTGCTCTTATACTCCCAAGGTCATTCCTTTAAAAATAGTATGGAATTATACAAATAAATTAATCATGTCATTGAATATGAGGTTGCCTGAATTGCTGTGTACTGATTATCTTAGTTGGTGTCTCTAGAGAGGTGACCATCTAAAACAAAAGTATGATTGCATTGAGTAGAGGTTAGTTGTGCAAGACACATTCTTAGGCTGACACGAGGATGGGGAATGTGACTCTCTACCCCGGACATCCTGAGCAGACACTCCTGAGTTTACAGGGGTGGTGCAACACTTACATCTGCTGTTTGAAACAACCACACCCCAAGTCTCATTCTTGTGTTGCACAATGAGTGTTCATCACATGCACTTAACACCCTTCTTTCTTCTCCTCACCCCACTCCACCAAAATGTCCCACGTCATCACAAAGGGAAGACAACGAAAATGTTTACAAGTTGTTAATTTATTAAGCCCTATAATGCAGCGTTGACTTAAGGAGAAATTTTCAAAGCTTATTGGGAAGAAATATGTATTTATATGCTCTCCGCATGTCTTCTTTTCCACGACGCATTTCTGTAAAGATTCTCAGTTCCTCTTGCTTCCTGTCTTCTCCATGTTGCAAATGGAAGGAAACAGTTTCAATTGGGAATGTATAAAGTCTTTGACAGGGGAGTTTCCAAGAGACTTTTTTTCCCTAACAAGCAGGAAAATGTGGAAGCCAGGCTTATACATGTTATATTAGTTAAAAAGCTGTGTAAACATATAGAAGGCATTTATAACAATTCCTGGCACCTAGTGCTTTTGCTATTTGTGGTTATTACTGTTCTGCAGATCAGCATGGCTAACTAGAAGCTGTGTCCATGCGCATAGGCAGGCTGGGACGCTAAGTGGGCGTTCCATTTTCCAGATGGGACAAATCCTGAAACAGCGATGGAGGGGTTGGGGAGCAGTGTTGCTGGGAGGAGTATAAAATGTGGCAGCCACTGTGGACAGTTTGATGGTTCCTCAGTAAGTCAAACAGAATTACTATACGACCCAGCAATGCCACCCCCAGATAGATACCCAAGAGAAACGTAGGTCCACACAAAAATTGATACACAAACGTTCATAGCAGCATTGTCGACAATAGCCAAAAAACAAACAAACAAACAAAAGTAGAAACAACCCAAGTGTTTATCAACAAATACACAAAATATGGTACAGGAGCTAGAAACAGGAAGGAAGGAAGAGTGACTGCTTCGTGGACACAGGTTTGCTTTTGGGTGAAAAAATGTTCCAGAACTAAACAGTCACGGTAGTTGCACAAAACTGTGAATGTACTAAAGGTCACTAATGGTCAATTTTATTTTGTGTAGTTTACCACGGTAAAAAAACGCTAGTAAGTGGTAAGGCCATGTATGCATGAGGCTTAAAACATTCGCAACTTTGGGTACTAAATGCTGTGAAAACTTTAGTTGAGAAAAGACTAACCTTTAGTAGTTTAGCACTAGCTGGATCGATCTTGCTCAGAGGATCACAGTAACGAAGAATGTTTTCTAGAAACTAATTTAACACATTCCAATCTGCTATGTGTATAAAGAAATAAAAATATTACAGGTGTTTCTTCCTAAAAAGCTATTCTTGTTTCTGGGCCAAGATAGTTCCATCCAAATGCCAAATTCCTTAAGTATGATTTAATTTGAATAATAATGTTCTTTATATCTGAATAGCACTTGCAGCTGCAGGAACACTCGGGGTATAATTAACCCTTTTCCAGTTCTGGAAACTGAAGATCAGCGCAGTTAAGCAAAGTGCCCATGATCACATAGCTTGCATCACATAGTTACAATTAAGTGTTCAGATTCAAAACCAACTTTTCTCCCACTTTAGGATCTACTTCCCATTGCTTTAATACGCTCATAAAAGAGTGGGGTCCCTCCAAAGCGCAACTATGAGGACAGTATGATATTAACACATGCATCCACATCCTTAACAACTGGCTGCTGCTATTTTTTTTCTGGAATGGTGATCTTATTTTGCTAGTATAAGTATTGTATGTATCTTAATTTTTTCTTCCCATTTTTTTTAAATTGCAGTTCTTCGGAACAAAAGGAAAAATGGCATTCTTTCCTTCAAAGGTATCTTGTCACTATACATATTATACATCTTTAACCCATGAGAAAAGAATAAATCTCTTCAAAGCAGTGCCCCCACACACTATGCTTCCCCTACTTAGTAGAAATTGTTAGACTATCCTCAAATAATTTCTTATTTAGATGTACCCTGGCTGCTACTGCAAATAATCTGCTCTTATTTACATGCACATATTGCTTATTTTTGATGAAATTCTGGTTATCACTCTCATCTTCCCCTTCTCTCAGACCTAATGATTGGAGCTAACATTATTCTCAAAAGATACATATTAAATTTTCTTAAGTGCAATTTACTCTCCTGAGTGATGCTCAAAGCACCTTCTCATTCCTACCCTTGAAGGTGCTGGGCCCTCCAGTCTAGGCAGGAAAGCTTTGATGACTGGATCCGCTACTCACATCTTACATGACAAGAGCAACCTGTTGTTTTCTGAGTCATGTCTTACTTTCCTGAAATAGTTTTGCATGTTTTCTTCCAACCCATAATTTGATGTTGCTGAGTTTATTTACATGCATTTAAAAATAACAGAGTATGTTGAAAATTTTAGCCACATAGATCAATTTGAAAGTAAGCTAATAGCTAATTCATCCTACTCTATTTGGGGTTATTATTGAATTTGATTAGGTACATCAATCTGGCCAAAGAGAAGGACCAGCCCAAAAGCATTCCTCTCAGAATCTTCACTGAGGACATCAAGAACTGTGCCTGTGTAAGTGTTTTTAAGACCAAAAATTAAATTCCATGTTCCTGATTCAGATAGAATGAAAGAGATGGAGATGGAGATAGAGAGAGGGAGGGAGGGAGAGATGGGGAGGTAGGAAGGAGAGAGCAAGAGATAAGAAGAGAGAGAGTATTTAGAAAAGTACCATGTGGGAAAATGTATTTTCCTGTCTACACGTGTCTTTGTATACATAAAGAGTGAATCCTAGGTAATATGAAGTGAGAGGAATCCATGCCACAGTACTTAAGCATGAAAAGAATATTGCATGTTAAATATCCATAATATTTCCCTGGTTCTTTCTAATAGCAACAACACTGGCTTGTAATAAGGTGATTTTCACATGCAGGTATTTCCTACTAGAAGTAAACATTTTTTCCCAATGGTTACTACTTATGTACAGAATGGTTTGGATTGTTTCCACAGTTCTCCACCCTCCCCCCATTGACGCTTTATTTGGTATAACTGTAAACTCACAGAAAAGTTGTAGGTATAAAAATAAAACAAAAAACACCCCATGCACCCTTTACCTAGATTCAGCTATTAGTAACATTTTACTCCACTTGCTTTATCATTTATTTTCTTTCTCTGTCCCTATTATGTGTATGTTATACTTATTTTTGAGGGTCATACAAATGCCATGGCCCTTTATCCTTAAACCTAGGTATTTCCCAAGAATAAAGATATCCTCTTATATCACCATCACACAGTTATCACCTTTAGTAAATTTAACATCGGTGTAATACTTTACTCTGCCTTCCATGTTCCCATTTTGTCAGTTGACCTCAATAATGTCTCCTTTCCAGTACAGGATCTACTCAAGGGTCAGGTATTTCACTTAGTAGTTATATCAACTGCAGAGGGGTTTTGAAAGGTCTTTTGATCCAAGGAATATCAGGGTTGAATTGAGCTCAGAGGGATGACACTTTTAACGGATCAGCATATTTCTATCTCATTTTCTTTTGGCTGTTGGGGGAAAAAAAATCAAACCAGTTGCCCATTCTTGGTATAAAATTTGATTTCTGAAATTGTAGTGCAGTAGCCAAGACATTTGCAATGATGAACAAGATACTTTGGGTATCTTTAAGTGACATTTTTTTTTTCCTGTTATACTTTACAGTAGCTCTAGGTCACACAAAATAGTATTTGAAGGTGGAAAAAGGGGTAGTTATTCCTGGCCAAAGCAAAAGCCATGCAAATATTTTGATTGGTTTCTAAGCACCAGGTAGATGCATTGCATGAAGGAGATAAGGCCAGAGGGTTCTCTAGCAGCAGAGCACACTCTTGTCTCTGCCTGCTTTGATTTCAGCTGTGGCAGTGGGTTGCACTCAGAATTTTCCATGGAAAATTACCTTGAAATCTTTAAAAATCAACTTTATTTATGTATAATTTACACAAAATAAGCATTTCTAATGTTCTTCACTTGTTCCTGAACATCCAAGTTTCCCTCTAACACTGTTTTCATTTCATCCTAGAGAGATGATCCTTAGCATTTCTTGTGCAGACCTGGTGCAAACAGATTTTCTTAATTTCTCTTATCTGAATATGGCTTTATTTCACACTCACTCTTGAAGGATATTTTGAGGGATGTAGAATTTTGTTCGCAAACTTTTTCCTTTCAGCTCTTTAAAGATGTTCCACTGTCTTTTTGTCTTTGTGCTTTCTGATGAGTAGTCTGTGATCAATCAAACATTAATCCCCTGTAGGTGATTTGTCATTTTTCTCTAGCTGCTTTCAAGAGTTTCTCTTTATTTTTGGTTTTTAGCAGTGTGGCTATGAAGTATCAAAGCATGGTTTTCTTTGAATCTGTCCTATTTGGCATATTCTGAACTTCTTGAATTTATAAATTTAATTTCACCAAATTTGGGAAATTTTGATCATGATTACCTCAAATATTTTCTTCCCCATTTTCTCTCTCCTCTCCTCCTGAGAGTCCAGTTATATGTATATTAGACCCTTTCATATTGTTCATAGATCCCTCAGACTCTTAATTTTTTCAATCTTTTTTTCCCCTTTTCTTCTTCAGACAGGATAATTTCTATTATCTATTTTCAAATCACTGACTTCTTTTTGTCATCTCCATTATGCAATGTAGCCTAGTCAGTAAATTTTTTCTTTAAGATATTTTTCAGATAAAAAATTTCTGTTTTTAAATATTTTTCGTTTCTATGCTAAGATGCCTCTTTCGTTTATTGTGAGCATATTTTCATTTGTATCATTGAGCATTATTGTAATAGCTGTTTTTGGCTAACAGTCTGAACATCTAGATCATCTCAGGGTTGGCTTCAGCTCTTGAGAATTGATCACATATTCCTTGTTCTTCATATATTAAGTAACACTTTGACTCATATAAAAAAAAAAGTAACATTTCTTTTTCTTTTAAATTATTTCAAAAAGCAGCTTATTTTTCTGAAGTCATTTGTTTACAGAGAGCTCTATCTACTGGAATTTATCTGTTTTGGAGAACCTACAACATGCAGGAAAATATACATACATCTCTGGAATTACTATTTTGAACATAGTATGTTCCTTATACCATGAAAACCATTATCTTGCAGACCAGATAAATTAAAAAGTGATTATTAGTATTTCAAAAGAGATTTTTTTTTCTTTAAAAAGATTTCATGGGAGGGATGCCTGGGTGGCTCAGTCAGTTATGCATCTGCCTTCGACTCAGGTTATGATCCCAGGGTCCTGGGATGGAGTCTTGCATCAGGCTCCCTGCTCAAAGGGGAGCCTGCTTCTCCCTCTGTCTTCTCTGCCTGTGGCTCCCCCTGCTTGTGCTCTCTCTCTGACAAATAAATAAACAAAAATCTTAAAAAAAAAAAAAAATTTGTGGGAAACTTTTTAAGTTGTACTGAAAGGCTTTCAGACATCTTAAAAAAAATAGCAGAGCCATTACTTCTAACTAAATTTCAAGCTAAGACCCAGTCTTGAATCCTCTAGACAATTTAACATAGGAAGCCCCTCCTAGACAATTTAACATAGGATATCCTTGAGTTTGGGTGCTCTGAGTCCTACTGCTAGGTTCTGAACACTTTTTTTTATAATCCTTAAAGCTCAAGTAGTTTGAAATCAATGAACACTTTTGTTTATAAAAGTTCGATTATCAAGCAACTTTTGGGCCATCTGTCATATCAAGCAATTGCATTTCAATTCATAAGAAGAAAAATACAATGAAAGAACAAGTTTCTTTTAACTTTGTTTTTAATATTTTTAAGGACTGTGAGTGTCCACTTCTGTTGCTTGTCTTCTTCATGCACTGTTTCTCAAAGAACACAGGCCTCATTGCCTAATAATGTTATAAAAAGTGTATGCGTGGTTGGTTACATATTGTCCTATTTTAAAATGTCTTTTGGAATTCGGGTACTTTTATCGATATCATCTCAGATTCCTATCCATCCCTTTCAGATAATTTTCAATAACTGTTTTCCTTGTTGTATGGAGCAGTTTCTCAATATAAGGTGTGATAGAGAGATATTATAAGTAACTATTCACTGTCAGAGTTGCGAATGGAATATAAACTTCTAACATTTTCAGTCTCATTTCCTAGACTCATTGGTTTTATTTGTCTCAACAGATTTCAACAATGGAAATCTTAGTAACCATGATGACACAAAGAAAGTATTGACTAAATAGTTTTTTTTTTTTTAAATGTCTGTCACAGACGGTTCTTATTCTGATTTTGCTGAAACTGAGTATGTAATTGCGAAGAGAGAAAAGTATCTAGCTCCTCCTTTTTAAACTATCTCCCCTCTCTATTTTGGGAATAGCCTTATGGAGCTGAGGGTCAGTTCATGTCCCCTCGTGGAATTCTGTTTTTCTGTTTCTTGCTTAAGCTGCTATATTTTGTAAGCCACAAATCCTTGAAGGGAAATATATGTTTCACTGAAATGTTTCCTACTAGCTTCATGTTATGTAAAGAAATGAAAATATAATCAAGGGTGTGTGCTCTACATATGCTTTACTTTGTCATTAACTGAAAACAAGCTTTGCCTTTAGAGTATGGATAATAATTTGACAATAATTATTTGGTCACCTGCTTTAAATTTTTAAAAATTTATAGCAATTTTTCTCATTTCTTTTTTACAGTCTGTAACTGTAACAGTAACAAATTCAGACACAGTGAATGACATTATCAACATGTCACTACCAATGCTAGGAATAACTGTAAGTACCCTTGCAAACTATTTTTAATTTAAAAACCATCTTTGACTTTTGAGATTTGTGTGTGTGTGTGTGTGTGTTGTGTACCTCCCGTTATAAGACAGCTGATTATTATACATATCATAGTCATATTTTGTCCCCCAGATTTAGAAATTGAAGGCAGCAAAGCTATATTATTAGCCTATACATGGGTGCTCTTCTTGTCTTCCCATTTTAAATTTTCTGCGAATTCAAAATCATAGCATAAAATTGGGCTATAATTTTAGAGTGCTAATAACAACATGCAGTTTATTGTATATATTTTATACACAGACAATAAAATATTTCTAAGTTTCTAAATATTTCCTCCTCTATTGGACTCTTCTGTCTGTGTCTTCATTCCTGATTCCTCCCCATCCCTGTTTACCCTGGTCATCACCCAAGGACTCAATCCCAGTTAGATGAATCCTAAATTATATGTTTTGTTGTACATTTTGACATAAAGACCACATGGCTAGAAGCTACCTCCTCTTGATGCAGTTCCTTGGGATGAGGCGGCTCACACCCCTTATGAACTGGTAAAGAGGACAAGTTCTGAATAAGACCATGATCTGGGGGCAGTTGCGTACATATCACTTTCATCTTGTTTTGGTTTTAACGGCCTGTTCCTTTATGTTTTGATGGCGCTGGTGTGAGTTGCTGGATTTTTTTTTTTTTTTTTTTTTTTTTGATGAAAGACATGGACATATTTGAGGATGAGGTTTTCTAAGGGAAAAGAGAGGGAGAGTGATAGTCAGATGGACAGAACTGAAGGGAGCACTTGTAAAGCACAGCTTCTTATATAAAATCCTCTATAAATGCAAAAATGTCTTGCTATTATGACATGACATAATTACAAGATTCTTACTTAAATTCTGTCTGACCCAATGGTATAATAAAGCCCCTTAAAAATTCAGGGCAACTGGAATTTAGCATAAGAAATCAATGATTTCTGTACAAACAAAATTTAATAATATATCTGAAATAAAATTGAATTTATATGTACTGAGTAAAGCACATATCTACATTGATTTCTAACCTGTATGATATATATACCCTAAATAGGAATTAAGTCTTAGACAGAGAGTGAGTGGTTTTAGGGATGAAGTTGAGGAGATTGATTAATGATGAAGCTCATTTTATTTCATGTTTGTGATTTTCCTTTGCATAAAGTGATCAATCTCACCACACAAAGAATTTCTGTTTTAATGAAGAATTGGGGTTATTTGGCTTTATGTATGCCTGATTTAAGGGATTCCAGCATAGCATTTCCAAACCCTACCCTACCTTACTAGCTCTCACGAGTTATTTGCAATACAATTTTGAGCAGATTTAGCTATGTGTGTGTGTCTGTGTGTCTGCGTGTGTCTGTGTGTGTGTCTGTGTCCATACCTATGACCTTTCTTCATAAGGGCAAGACCATGATTTTTAATCAGGAGTCCAGGTCAAGCATAGTACCTATCACCAACAACTCCATGTCAAACATTTTTTGCTTTAGTCTCCTGGAAGACTCTCTAAAATAGTTCAGCGATCTTTATAATTTAGATGTGTTTGTTTCAAGTAGGACTTCCAGGTTTACTGGGCGGTAATTCTGCTGGGAGTAATTGTTTTCTGCATCTGATATGTTGTCTAGGTTAGAGTCCTTGTTCTTTCTCTCCCTGAAGTGGGGCTTGCCTGCACCAAAGCCAGTGGCTGACTTCAGTCCACTAACTCCTCAAGGCCTCTTGGGCGTTTGTCTCCTTTTGCCCAGGGCTGCGGAACTATTGATGCCTTTCAAGTTACTTTGCTCAGGAATAGTCATAGCAGGGTATATGGCTCTCTGGACAATATGCATGTCAGGGCAGGGACATTTGGCGGCAAAAGCCAGCATTATCCAAGGAATCTAGAGACAGCGGAAGGCAGGACTCTGAGATTAGAAGTTTCCTCCTTAGCGAAGGGGCACAACTGTGATTTCTTAGGCCATGGGCCACCCACACCGTGAGGGGCTGATTGTACTGTGGTTTCCTGGCCTTTATCAAAAATGACAAGAACCTGGGACGGTCCACTGGAGGCTATGAGGGAACAAGTTAACAAGTACTGTAGCTACCTCCATGGACCAAATGGCATTTATACTGGCCCCAATTCTTTCTTTCTGGAAACAGAGAAATGCAAAGGAAATGTGTTCTTCAAGTACTGTGAAAGATTTGTTATGATGCATAGTTCTTTTTGTTTCCAAGGGCTCTGAGAAAGACTACCAGCTGTGGGTGAGTGCTGGCAAGGAAGCGTCCCCACACCCACTCACTGGTAAGTGTCAGGGAAAATCTAAGATGGGATTGATTAGGTTCAAAATTGTAACTCTACATCTCAAAGTAATGGTTGTTCTGTCTTCAGCTTAAATACCCTTAAAAGTGAAAATCACATGCAATATTCACTCTCACGTTTATTAAAGAATTACCAGGTGCTTACTTGTTCCCAGGCACTGAGGACATCTCTTCATTCATCAGCTTAAGGTCTAGTTAGGGAGAGAAATGTAAATTTTTCGTTTCTACTTCATTTTACCTGACAAACGGAGCTGTCTTAAAAATTTTTTTGTTTATTGTTTACTTACTTATTTACTCACTTAGGTATGAAAGCATAGAATTGGAATTTTTTTTTCCCATACATTTATTTTTCATATTCCAGTCTTGAATTCCAGTTCCTAACAACTAAATAGCCTCTATTTTGTGAGAATCCGCTAAAATCCAATCATGTCTCTGAATCCAGGTATAGGTATGTATTTAACACCTGCTCTGTGCCCAGAAGTTTTCTCAGCATCATAAAGAGAATGAGATAATCACATTTAAACTCCTCAAGTCTTCACTGACTAAACTACCTGCACTTTGTTGTTTCTCAGGCTTTTTCCATCACTGTTCTTAAGGTTATTGATAAACAGATTACACCTCTCCTAAAATAGTTATTAGCACAAGTCCTCTAAAAAAAAATCTTTGGATTAGCAAAATTGTTCAGTGCTTACCAAAAATAGAAGGATTAAAAAACAAGAGAAAAAAGAGAGGATCTGTAGCAGACCTTGAAGTATAGTAATGTATGGTAATGGTGACAATGATTTCTGCTAGAAATCTTAGAGCATTCCTTCTTACATGCGTTTTTCAAAATCTTTTTAATAATCCTGTGAGGCGGGATGCCTGGGTGGCTCAGTTAAGTGTCTGCCTTTGGCTCAGGTCATGATCCCAGGGTCCTGGGCTCCTTGCTCAGTGGGGAGCTGCTTCTCCCTTGGCCTGCTGCTCCCCCTGCTTGTGCTCTCTCTCTCTCTCTGACAAATAAATAAATAAAATCTTAAAAAGAAAATAATCCCGTGAGGCTATTACTCTTTTTCAAGTTATCTAAAGAATATTTTCAAGTGATCTGGAAATCTAAATAACCAATTTCTTTCTACGAAATGTATATTCCCAGTCTTAGAATACAGAGAGTCACCAAGGGCATAGCTGAGGAAAAAAATCCCCCCCACCATTTCATGTTTCATATTAATATTGACATCTCTGTAAAAGTCGGCCAACCACAAAAAGGAAAAAAGTCAAATACTTAAATATATTTATTTTAATAAAGTGCATTAATTTAGGTAAAACAATATAGATGATAACTTTTTAGACTTTGAGCAGCTTCACACACCAAGGCAGCTCTAAGGAATCCGGAGAGCCTGTCATTCATGATGATCCATTGGCAGCATTCAAAATGCATTTTTTACCAATGCTCTCAATTCTCAATTGCGGATTATCTCCTGGTTATCTTTGTGATTTGGTTGTATTGCTGTCGTAGAAGCTTCTTTTTCCTTAAAAGAGGGAAGTCACTGTGATTCTTGTGAACACATCACTGACACTGCATCTATGACAGATGAGAAGGAACAGCAAAAGCTCCCCAAGTTACATTCAATAATAAATCAGAAATGACAGAAAGAGAACTTCCATTCTGTTCTTAAAAAATGAGATCCATATCCTATAGCACAGGGTCTTTGAGAATTCTATAGAGAGGAAACAATTTAAAGCATACAAGAACAAAACAAATCACTTGGCAGGCAACTCTCACTGACTCTGGGTGCAGTTTTCCACTCTGTAAACATCGTTTTGCACTTTGCTTCTGGGTTCCCAACACTGTTCAGCCTTCCCTCTGATCATCACCTGGCAGGACTCCCCTTGGAGGAAGGGCAGCAGTGGGAGGGAAGTATAAAGCATAAAGGCAACCCATCCCACTGCCCTTGAGTAGCTCTGCCTCTAGAAATTGACAAAAGGAAATGAAAAAAAAATCTGCTCAACTGACATTATGTGAGAGAGAATAGCAATTCTTAATATATATGTTCAATTATTTAAAAAATATTACCCACCAATGCATATTAATATATTTACTCTGATCCTTATAAGTTTGTGTGAGGGCAAGCATTTCAAAGGATGAATGTAAGGCTCAGAGGGGTCAAGTAATTTGCCTAAGATGTGCAGATCTCGTTAGTGTCAAGGCAGAAACTAGAAGGCCTTAAATATTCTCAGATGGAAACACAGCAAAAGTCAGCATTGTGCAATGCACTGATGAATCTTTGTATTCCAAGTAAAGTAACATGCTTTACATTTTTTTTTCTCTTTTTAAAATCTTTTCCTTGGGCACCTGCTTTCTGCAGGGTGTCTCCAACAAGAGCGAATATGATGCTCACTCAGGAGGCACAGAGTGAGTGCCAGAAGCCCCAGGAGAATAGCAGCATATACCAGTGTGATGCATACACTCATGGGAAGGGGGATTTGATCAGAGCCATCACCATCAGCCTGAATCTATATTTTTTCCATATAGGACATAAACATCCCTATGGAATTAAAATGAGCCATCTTCCATCTACCACACTGCTGCCGCAGACACCAGAGGACTCCATCTCTCCTTCCACCCTCCAGGAGTCCCTCCTTCTGGAGCAGGGGTTCGCAGAGATGCAAGGCCGGTTCATCCTGAAGCCCAGGCACCCGGCGCAGAATGAGCAAGGGAGAGGTGAGCCCCTTCCCTTTCTTCAGGTGTCTTCTCTTGGCTCATGTCTCCACTCTTGCCCACAAATTGAGGACACAGAGCTCACTCTCTCTGTGGGGGGTGGGGAGGAACAGTAGAGGCAAGAACCCCAAAACTGCACAGAATCGAGCTTAGAGAAACCCAAAGGTCTTAGGACCCAACTCACTTCGAGGAAGGTTGTGTGCTTGTTTTAATTCTCCTAGGTAGACTGTTAGCTCCTTTCTCTGTATCCCCAGAACACTTTCTACATATAATTATGTGAGTACACATCTGTGTGTCTTCTTAGAGCACAAGCTGTTTGTGGCCTGGAAACAGGTCTTCCCTATTCCAGGGTTTTATCTAGTATCTCAGGCCATCACAGGATGGAATCAAATGACTGCATGGCTTAGACGCACCTGGAATGGAAGAACTCCAGTGGAGTAAAGAGTTATGGAACTGAATTGGATTTATTCTGGGCTTAGGCTGAAGTGGCCTTGGGCTTACAGTTAGAATTCAAGTCTCAATTCTGCCCCCACTTTCCATGTCTGCTTCAGACACAGGTCAAGGCTGGAGCGAGACTGAATGTTTATGGTCAGGGCTTTTTCATCTTCCTTCTTGCTATTTTTTTCCCTACCATTCCAGTATTCTCCCATTGATATTTTTTTCTCTGATGAAAATGTGTTATTCATCTGAGAAGTATTGGGCCAAAATAGAAAGTATTTTATTGTTATGATTGTTATTCTATAAGCACAAAGTTTCAAAAATTTTATTTTTTAATATTCATACCCTAATTCAAGCATTAGGAAACATTAACCCAAATCTTGCCAGGACTGTTTAAGAAAGAATAGGTTTCCATAAAGTTAGCTTGTTTAATCATTCCTATATTTTTCATGGCTATAGCATATATTTTTATTAGTAATAGAGGCAACATGACCTCTAACAGCAAATAATGTACATTATGAAACATCCAGCTAAGCCTGAAAATACCTTGGAGAAAGTATAGGACTCAATGTGTACTTATTTTCTGTATACTCATAGAGTAGCTAGATATATAGCTTTGTACCAAGGGATACAACATTCTTCTTAAGAGCATTCTTCTTATTAAAGCTGAAGAATGGAATATATTTGGGTAGTTTTAGAAATAATAAAACTAGGGGAAGAGTAGGGAACCCAGGTTGCATACAACAACTCAACTTACATATTAACACGTATCTTCAGCAAATGCATACATTTTGATGTACAGGAATCTCCTCCTGGATTTAAGAATGTGTTTGCTTTCTTTCTTCTCTCCTTTTAAAATGGTAGCGGTATCAATTTCAGAGCAGGAAGAAAGAGCCTTAGTTAAGTAAAGTGGTAGCCATCCTTCATGATTGCCTACCTTCTAGAGGTTGCAAAATCAAATAGAGAATGGGAGTGATGTCTGCTTTGGAGGGGGAAGAGACTGATGTCTAGACTGCCTGAGGCCTTCTGAGCAAGGAAATTACTTTTATCAAGGCTGCCACGAGCCATGCCTTGTGCTGAGTAGTACATTACATTTAGTTCAACGAGTTGTAGGCAGCAGCATTTATGTTAAAGTTAAGCAAACCAAAGCTTAAGAATTTTTGAGTAATCTAACTAGGTGGCAGAACCAGGATGCTTCTGGTTCTTAGATCCTGGTCTCTCTGGTCAAGTGCCATGAGTGTTGCCACCCACGTGAGTGGATACGGTGATGCACTCACTACATCCCAGAGAAGCCCAGTGGACAGGTGTTTATGGGTGTTTGGTGAAATGTTGCTCATTTGTTTATCCTTCTACAGCTTGGCTCCTCTGTGGACTTTTAAAGAATTCAGTTATTTAAGCAGATTTTATAAGCAAATGTTAAGGTATCTTATAAGGAAAACATTCATAGCTGAGCAGTAGAAACTTTCAACTCAGCTTTTCACTGCAGATCACCTTTTCTTTGTAAAGCTCTTCTTCTGCATTCCTTTGATAGGGAATGTTGGGTAATTCAAAATCATCTCTGGAAATTGGGGATAAATCAGGCATTCATAATCTCTCATTGTTTTTCTTTTTGTATGTTTTCTTTCAAGCCTTGTACTGGTATGGTGTATATACATGTATGTTTGAGTATGTGTGAGGAATTGGGTGCAATTCATTGTGGATTAGACTCTTTTCCGTAAATATCAAACATAATTTACAAAAAAAAAAGTCATCTCTGGGTAGCTTGGTGGGGTATCACAAGAAAACACAGTCACCTGGAATCTTACCACATAGCCAGCATGTAATGACTATTTCCCAAGAACCCTGAATGCAGGGAGTCATCCTTGGGGATGGCCCAGAGCAGAGACACCAGAGGCCACCTGAGAAGTGGGGTCAGGCGGATCATGTCATGAGAGGCAGATCCTTTTGATCATAGAAAGATGAGCACTCAGGGGCACCTGGGTGGCTCAGTCGTTAAGCGTCTGCCTTCAGCTCAGGTCATGATCCCAGGGTCCTGGGATCTAGCCCTGCATTGGGCTCCCTGCTCAGTGGGAGTCTGCTTCTCCCTCTCCCAATCCCCCCCTGCTTGTGTTCCCTCTCTCGTTGTCTCTCTCTGCCAAATAAATAAATAAAATTAAAAAAAAAAAAAAAGTTGAGCACTCAGAAAGCCAAAGAGGAAACTTAAGACTGGAAGGAGACTCACTGTGAAAGCAGATGATTAACAAACTCAGCTTGATTTGAATACCAGATCTTTTGAGCTTTTAAAATCAGATCTGACACTGGATGAATCCACTAATCATACTTACCAATAGGAAACAAACAACAAGTTAAGTGCCTCATGATAAAGCACAACGGGCAGTAGATGGGATTGAAAGCATTGACACTAAGTCTGATCAAGTCTCTAGGTTTAACCATCAGTTTGCAGGATCTGGGGAACAACTGTTAACACCATAAGAATGCTATTGGCCAATTTCAAAACATGGAAAATTCTACACAAAAAATGCCTCAGTTTCCCTCTTCTAGCCATTGCAGTGAATGTACCGTAGAATGGGAATGGTGAAAATAAGGTTAAGCGGGATGGCTGGGTGGCTCAGTTGTTAAGCGTCTCCCTTGGGCTCAGGTCATGATCCCTGTGTCCTGGGATTGAGCCCTGCATTAGGCTCCATGCTGGGTGGGAAGCCTACTTTTCCCTCTCCCGCTCCCCCTGCTTGTGTTCCATCTCTCACTGGCTCTCTATCAAAAAATAAATAAAATCTTTAGAAAAAAAAAGAAAAGAAGGTTAAGCGAATAAAACAACAACTACTACTACTAATCTCACTTCTTCCTTAGATTACAGGCAGAAGACAGTTAAAAGCGGTTTTTTCAGAGACTGGGCCTGTTGTCTCGGCTCCAGCACTAGCCAGGACAGCCAGTGCACAACCCCACCTTCTTCAAAGCCAGGACAGCTCTTTGGAGTTTCCCTCATGGATGTGTGTAATAAAGACAACTTGCCCTTCCCAATCCTGGTAGGTCATCTCCTTTTGGTCTTCTATAGCCCTTCTGAGGAGGGGACACTCTGAGAGGCCACGTGTCCTCATCCAAATCTATTCCCAAATGGAGAAGTCATTAGACAGCCCCTGGCTTTGGCTGAGAAGCTCTGTTACTGTTATTTCAAAGAATAGAATCTGATTTAGGTCCTGCAGAGTCATGAGGCAAATACAACAGGAAAAGACATTCTCCATTCCACTTGGGTCTTGTTTCCACAAAGACATGCGGAGGCTTGTTCAGATCAGTCAAAATGGACTCTGTGTATGTGAGTCTCTGAGAGTCCACCTCATCTTCACACTCTCCCCTCATTGCCTTCCTGAACTCACATGAGTCTCAAGTCTCCTTCAGCAGAGTCTACTCAGTCTAACAACTGTAAACATCTGACACGAGCATAGACTCATCCTCTGGCAAATAGGAATCTGTTAATCCTAACAGAATATGTCAAATGAAAGCCACAGAGTTTGGCCTGTGTTATCTCAAACTGCTGTAGTGAATTGTCAGTGTGGACATTGACTGAGTATTCGGTGTCTCTGCAAGCACTGTACGGGATGTAGGGAACGTTCTGCTAGCTATGAAGAAATGAATCATCTTAGCTAGCATGTTACCTGCTAGCTACTACCCCAGGTCCTTGCATCACAGCAAATTTAGAGGGTAGCTAGGATTATCATCCTCCACACTTCTTAAACGAATCAGAAAAGCCTCAGTACAGGATGTATGTGCCCCAGCTCACACAATAGATAAGTAGCATAATAGACTTCAGATCCATTTTATTCCCTGAGTCCAGCCCTTATTAAGATTCTACACAGCAGGGAGAGGACATGAAGATACAGCAAAAGACAATGAAAGACTCATGAGAAGGGAGGGTAATCAGAGAAAGAGAAGAGAGTTTCTGAGCCTGACTTTAAAAGAGGGAAAGAAATAGAACAAGTAGGAATGGAGTATACACTCACTTAAAGAGAAATAAACAAATGGGAAATGTGTATTTCCTAAATAGACTTCCATACTTGGGGGAGAGCATCTATGTAAGGCAATAATGAGAAAAGAATGGTAAAGTAGGAAACGGACGGTGATTGTGCAAAGGCCTTGAAGCAGAGAATTTTGATTTAAGAGTGGAAACTCAATGGAAAGGAAAATCTGCTTAAAAGAAGTGTTTAAAATGTTTCAGTGTATGACTGTAAAATGGATATATGGGTAGAAAGTATATAGAGAGACACTGAAAAAAAAAACAATCTAAATTGACTTTAGTCCTTTCAGCTCAAAAACAGTGTACCATTGCATTCCCCTCCTCTTTCAAAACGGAGGCAAGCTTGAGCTCTGCGTTTGGGGTATGAGATGCGATATAATTTTCTTTTCTTCCTACAGGATATGCTTTCCTTTATTAATCAAAAAGGGTCACTCACAGAATGCATCTTCAGCAAATCACCCAATATAAAATCAACCAGGGTCCTAAAGGAGAAACTAAATTCTGGGGTCAAAGTGGACCTGTACAGCGAATCTGTTCATGTGGTCGCATCCGTCTTAAAGGTAGGGAAGGTTCTAGCATTATCCACACACGAGTAACTGAAGCTATGATTGGTGTCTTTCATCATGACTGCTCAAGAACCATAATGGGCATAATAGATTAAGAACCTGACAAGCTGAAAAACGCTTGACAAAATCAAAATTTAAGGAAGCTACTTTAGGAGTTAAAAGCCCCATATGTTAGAAATTCTTTCTGTTTTCACCACACACCGCCTACCCTGCCTTCACTCCTGAAGTCGCCATGCAAAATACTAATACTGAAATGACTACTAGTCATGATAATAAATTTCAAAATACGCACTGACACATACACACTGTTTACCCATGCAAACATTCTCACCACCCTCCTAGTGAAGTCAAAGTTTCCAAAAGAAATAGAACAGGGAAAGAATTTAATCCATCCACCTTGGCACTTATGAACAGCTCTGAACAACCCTATGTTAACGTAGTAATGACTACAGTCTTAGAATCTCAGTCACATTTGGTCTTCCCTTGTCCCCCGTTAATGTTCGAAGATGTGATCAATAGCAAAGTCCAGAAATGACTTAGGTAACCACTCCTACACTGCGGTCATAGTGATATCCAGTAGTAATATACATATAGGCATCAGGAGACAGGAGAAGAATGCTGATACATTACGTAGCAAGATGAGTGTTGCCCTCTGTAAGGTGAGCACATGGAATCGATTTTCTAGCAAGAGTTAGGAGGTTCCGGGTGCCTGGGTAGCTCAGTTGGTTAAGCGACTGCCTTCGGCTCAGGTCATGATCCCGGAGTCCTGGGATCGAGTCCCACATCGGGCTCCCGGCTCAGCAGGGAGCCTGATTCTCCCTCTGACCCTATCCCCTCTCATGCTGTTTCTCTCTCTCTCTCTTTTAAATAAATAAATAAATAAAATCTTTAAAAAAAAAATCATTAAAAAAAAAAAGAGTTAGGAGGTTCCTTCCTGATTCGGTGTTATAAGCACCGACTAGGAAGAAGGTATGCACATGTGGGCATAGTGCTTAGACATTTCTAAAGTTTTCTCTTCCTGAAGTTGATGGATCTTGGTGGAGAAACAGACTCTGCAACTTTGGCCTTTATAATATCATGTCAAAAAACTGGGAATGGACCTAATCTAGAAATGAATCTATCCTCAGGACCTCAGTGAGTCTACTATTAGACTCTCGACTTTTAGACAGTTAAGAAAAGGAAGAATGAAGCAATTGTGCGAGTAGCTTTCTTCCAGGGAGCACACATACCCCGAGTGAGAACACCTAGTTCTTTCCTAATATGTGTGCAAGAGCCCACCTGTTTCTGTTTCGATTGTTTCAGGCCTTTTCTTGCTAGAGTTAAGAGCTAGCACTGTGTCTAAAACAAGCAACATGGGTAAGCGTATTTCTGTCCAAGAAGCTAATAGGATTTAGGATGGTCTATAGCCAGACCCTGTCAGTTTGTGGTACTTTGCAAAAAAAGCACACAAAGAAAATAAGTTCCAGATGATAGAAGGGAGCTTTATCTTCATTTCTACCACAGCCTAAGCTCTGCTTTAATGCCTCTAACATTTAGGGGGAGAATATCCAAGCACCTGATGCTGCGTGTGCAAGTCAATGGAGAGTCAGAGCCAAGCTCCGTGTGGGTCCCAGTTTGGGTATCTGTGAAGGAAGTGGGGGCTGAACTGAATTTTTTAACTACATATTTTCTCTGTAATATTTCCAATACATATTTTCTGTAATATATATACATATTTATTTTTATCTCCACAAGTATTTCCTAAGAAATATCCCAGGATGTATATTTTTGTCTGATCTCTATGACAAATGGCTCGGTGTTATTGATCAAGGGAACGAAGAGGAGAAGATGACTGCAGCGCGGAGGTAACGATGCAATAATTACTCTACTCTGGTCACATCTCCAAAATACACCCAACATACTATTAGGAAAACATTGGCTTACGTTTTGCAGCTTTGCCCACTATAATCATGACCAATGTCAAAGAGTTTCAATTCTTCAAAGCCATGGGGGTCAGCTTCAGAATAGAGGCACGCTTTAGGGCTATTATTGTTCTTCTCCTGATCTTATTAATGTGGACTCCTTGGCCGTTTGACACCTTCTGGATCCATGAACCTTGTAGACGAAATTCCCTGGTTCAAGACACATGCAAGAGCATCAACTGCCAGGGCTATGACCTTAAAAGTCTGTCAAACATTTAACTAACCAGAGAAGTGTTTATCTGGCTCAGGAACTAAATTCAGTGCAACAATTTTGTCTACATTCATGCCTGGAACTCTGCTAGAGAGGGGTTGTGTGCTAGATATACAAGGATGTATCCTTTTCCCTGTCTCTGTTTTTCCAACCTCTTAAGTGGAATCATTTACCTAATTTAAAGTGTGTTTTTCTGACCTTAGGCTTTTAGCCCAGCTGCCAAGAGCAAATATTGTTCTCTTGCGATACCTTTTTGGAGTGCTATACAACATTGAGCAACATTCCTCATCCAATCAGATGACAGCTTATAATTTATCCGTTTGTATAGCCCCAAGCGTTCTTTACCCACCTGATTCCGGCACCTTGGAATTGGAAGACAACTTGATAAAAAAGGTAAGGAGAGCTCTCATTTTTGTCCCCCAAGGGGTAGAATCCCTACTTTGAACCGGACATGTGCAGTAGTAACTCTGACGGATGGAACCTTGTGAAGTGCACATTTTCGTTAGGCCCCTGTGGAGTGGCAGAGTTCTTTAGGCTACTCTGGCGGGGTCTGGGAAGGGGTGTCGTTAAACGGGAAACTCGGAGCAGTCGAGTCACTTCTTCACCCTCCAGGAGACTAAACACTAGACTGACTAAACGAGAGAGAGAAGAGTCGTGTGATACGATAGGAAAGAACCTGGGCTTTGGAGCTTCACCAGTCAAGGTTCAACTCTCAGCCTAATCCCTGAGGGACTCGTAACCTTGGGCAAAGCCATGGTTTCCTCACTACACAATGGCGACAACAGCCAGCTCCTCCGGTCATCACTGGCACATCCTGGGTGGCTTGGGCAATATGAGCCCCCATGGCTCCAAACACATTGGCCTTCCTCTGCCAATTGTGGCTCATCTAGAAAAGTACTCAGCTACTATTTCACCTCTGCTACGTCATATGGAAACTAGCAAGAGATTCCAGAATATCCTAATAAGATGACAGGTCTTCCCCAAGCTCACACAGAGAGAGCGAGCATGAGGCAAAGCAATGCGTGAGAAGGGACTGAAGTTAGACAGACAGATACATTTTCTCTCCAGCTCTGTGGGTTTTCCCTCACAACCCCACCAAAATCTCTGCTTCCCAACTTTAAGATACTTCTTCATTTAAGAAATGGTTTTCTTAAGTTTTTGTTCATACTTTATATAAGGTTTCATAAGATGTTATACATCAGTTACAGCTCAATAAAACTGGAAAGAAAATTTAAAAACATAAAATAAGTAAACTTTAATAAGGTAGGCTACTTTGAAAATTATCCTTGTTTTATTTATATTTTGATATGTATTTATTTGAGAGAGGGAAAGAGAGAGCGTGAGCGGGTCAGGGGAAGAAGAAGAGGGAGAGGGAGAGGGAGAAGCCCAAGCCGATTCCCCGCTGAGCACGGAGCCCAAAGTTGGCTCCATGTTGGGCAGGATCTCACCATCATGAGATAGTGATCTGAGCCAGAATCAAGAGTCAGATTCTCAACTGAGGGGCCCCAAAAATTATCCTAGGCTTAATGATGTAACCACTGATACCAAAATGTTGGCTATTAAACTAGGCCACATATTAAAACTTTAGCCTACTGATTAGCAGTATTTTAAAATGTGTACCCAAAGTACACGGAAAAGTATCACTCTTCCTAAGTTATTTCTTAGAGAATTCTGGTCTCTTTTTTTTATTTTATTATTTTTTTTAAGATTATATTTATTTTCTTGACAGAGGCAGACACAGCGAGAGAGGGAACACAAGCAGGGGGAGTGGGAGAGGGAGAATCAGGCTTCCCGCTGAGCAGGGAGCCCAATGTAGGGCTGATCGCATCACCCTGGGATCATGAGCTGAGCTGAAGGCAGACGCTTGACCGATTGAGCCACCCAGGCGCTCCTGGTCTCTATGTATTTTTATCAGTTCTGAATTTTTCTGGGAAATCTTTCACATTCTTTCTTAGATCCAAGGTCTATATACATAATGTGATTTATAACTATGCCCTATGGAAAAGAGCACCCCATTCTTGTCTTTTTGTGTTACAGATTTCTCTTGTACAATTTCTCATTGAAAATTGCCTTAAAATATTTGGAGAAGACATCACTTCCCTCTTGGGAGAGAACTCAATGAGTCGTGGTAACAGCGAGCAGGCTGCAGGTACCGGGAATAATTTTATTGGCTTTAGTGAGAAGCAGACAGCAAGGCTGCCAGGGGTCATGGGAGATGCTTAGACAGAGCTCTTCTGGAGCCCAGAGCATCGCCAGGGCAAGGATTTCCATGGGCTCCTTCGTCCGAAGGCTGGCTCACAGGTCAAGGGAGGTTCCACACTGTTGTGAGACCAAAGAAAGGATAAGATGAGGTCTCTGACTTCAAGAAGTTTCTAGTGTAGATCATAACAGAATTAGGACTCATCATGGTATGCCACAGTGTTTGGGAACTTTTTCTCACAAAATTTAAATGGGTGATATATATATATCTATGTAGTTATATATATTACATAATTATATACTGATACTATATAAATATATAAACATAATGTATATATTTATGTATATTACATGTGCGCTGGTTGAAGCCAGAGAAAGGGGCCTTTCTTCCCCTCCCTCCTCTTTTGGCTCAGGGGCTCTTGAGGCACCACAGGATTCCAGTGCCCTTTGAAATGGGTTGAAAAGAATTGGCATCTTTGAGAAAAAAGAACTTGACTTGATGTCAAACAACCTCTCCAGAGTGTAAATTCCTGTACCCCCATTTACCAGCTATATTATCTTTGGCCCGTTACAGCAGCTAAGCATCAGTTTATTCATCTCTAAAATGTGGATAAAAATAATGTCTAAATCTTAGAATTGTGGTGTAGAATAAATAAGATGATGGATGAAATTCAAAAAAAGCCATTAATAGCACTAGGAGAAGTGCCCCTGACACTAGAGGTAGTATGATTTGAGCCTAGCTAATCAGACCTAACTGGCAGCAGTCCACCTTAGAAGGTAGACTTTCGATTCAGAACCTGGAGACACGTATCATCAATCCCTCCATATTTTTGACATTTCTTGTTTTCATGACACATACCACATACTTTGAGGAAAGTTTTAGGAAAATACAAGTCATCAGGAATTAAGATGAGTCTGAGGCACCTGGGTGGCTCAGTCGTTAAACATCTGCCTTCAGCTCAGGTCATGATCCTGGGGTCCTGGTACCGAGCCCCGAGTCGGGCTCCCTGCTCCAAGGGAAGCCTGCTTCTCCCTCTCCCCCGCCCCCTACTTGTGTTCCCTCTCTTGCTGTCTCTCTCTCTCTGTCAAAAAATAAATAAAATCTGTAAAAAAAAAAAAAAAAAAGGAAAAAGAAGGTTCAACATATTAAACAACAACTACTACTACGAGTACTCTCACTTCTTCCTTAGACTCCAGCCTGAAGACTGTGAAAACCCGTTCTTTCAGAGATAGGGCGTTTTGTCGGGGTTCCAGCACTTCCCAGCACAACCAGTGCACAGCCCCACCTTCCGCAAAGCCAGGACAGCTCTTTGGAGTTCCCCTCATGGATGTGTGTGATAAAGACAACTTCTCCTTCCCAATTCTGGTAGGTCATCTCATTTTGGTCTTCAATAGCCCTCCTGAGAAGGGGAAACTCTGAGAGGCCAAGCGTCCTCATCCAAATCTATCCCCAAATGAAGATGTCATTAGACAGCCCCTGGCTTTGGTTGAGAAGCTCTGTTACTGTTATTTCAAAGAATAGAATCTGATTTCGGTCCTGGAGAGTCATGAGGCAAATACAACAGGAAAAGTCATTCTTCTCCATTCCACTTGGGTCTTGTTTCCACAAAGACATGCGGAGGCTTGTTCAGATCAGTCAAAATGGACTCTGTGTATGTGAGTCTCTGAGAGTCCACCTCATCTTCACACTCTCCCTTCATTGCCTTCCTGAATTCACATGAGTCTCAAGTCTCCTTCAGCGGAGTCTACTCAGTCTAACAATTGTAAACATCTGACACAAGCATAGACTCATCCTCTGGCAAATAGGAATCTGTTAATCCTAACAGAATATGTCAAATGAAAGCCACAGAGTTTGGTCTGTGTTATCTCAAACTGCTGTAGTGAATTGTCAGTGTGGACATTCACTGAGTATTCGGTGTCTCTGCAAGTACTGTACGGGATGTAGGGAACGTTCCGCTAGCTATGAAGAAATGTATCATCTTAGCTAGCATGTTACCTGCTAGCTACTACCCCAGTTCCTTGCATCACAGAAATTTAGGGGCTAGCTAGGATTATCATCCTCCGCACTGCCTAAACGAATCAGAAAAGCCTCAGTACAGGATGTGTGTGACCCAGCTCACACAATAGATAAGTAGCATAATAGACTTCAGATCCATTTTATTCCCTGAGTCCAGCCCTTATTAAATTTCTACACAGCAGGGAGAGGACATGAAGATACAGCAAAAGACAATGAAAGACTCATGAGAAGGGAGGGTAATCAGAGAAGGGGAAGAGAGTTTCTGAGCCTGACTTTAAAAGAGGGAAGGAAATAGAACAAGTAGGAATGGAGTATACAGTCACTTAAAGAGAAATAAACAAATTGGAAATGAGTATTTCCTAAATAGACTTCCATACTTGCGGAAAAGCATGTATGTAAGGGAAAAATGTGAAAAGAATGGGAAAGTAGGAAACAGACGGTGATTCCGCAAAGGCCTTGAGACAGAGAAGTTTGATTTAAAAGTGTAAACTTAGTGGAAAATCTGATTAAAAGAAGTGTTGAAAAT